GACAGCTGCCGTGGCTGCCGGCAGAGATGGGGGAATGAAGGGGGAGTATGCAGTCAGCCTGCTGCTGCTCAGGCTGTCTCCACCACCTGACAGTCTGGGAACAGAGAAGGCCTCACCCCTCTCCTCCAATTCCCCAGGGATGGCCAATTCCAGGAAAGGGCCCCTTTTGTCTCCGAGCCCAGTGGTTTGGGTAGTTTGTCCTTAAGCCAGTAGGGGCTCTCTTCTGAGAGAGAGGGTAGTGAGGTTGGGAGGGAGGTGTGTAGAGTGGGAGGCTTGTGCCCATTCTGTAGAGGGGGTTACTAAGGCCACAGTGGGACTAGGATTCACCATCAGGGCACAGATTAGAACCAGAACCAGAAGCTGAAGCCTCTGTCCCAACCCTTTGGCTCTCAGGCCCTTGCCGGGGTCCAGTGCACTCACCCCATATTGAGGTGAGCCCAGTGTTCAGCTGCAGAGGGAGGACAGGAAGGGACCCAGAGAGGAGTGGGCCTGAGCCAGGAAGCTGGTGTTGGGGAGCTCCCAGAGGACTGAGTATACACGTGGCAAGGCCAGGGCAAGACCTGGAGCACTGACAGGCAGGGCCTTGGAAAGCAGTACTCAGTGCTGAGGCAGTTGCTGCTGTGCTGAGGATCAAGCGAACTGGGTTTGGTTCCAGCTGTTCCACCTGCTTGCTGTGTGACNGGGCAGTTGCTGCTATGCTGAGGATCAAGCGAACTGGGTTTGGTTCCAGCTGTTCCACCTGCTTGCTGTGTGACCTTGAGTAAGTCACCACCCTCTCTGAGCCTCAATATTTTCTAGTGAAATAAAAGAGGGTGAAAGTGACCTCAAAGCACACTTTTAGGATTAAAAGGCTAATCCCTCCTCCCAGGGCGTGCCACCTCTGGGTGCTCTGCTCCCAGACAAGCATTTACTACTGGAGACCTGGCAATTTTACCTGCATTGGCTAGATGAGGAAACTAGATGAGGTGGGCCTCAATGACCTCATTTCACAAAGGAGCAGAGGGTGGCTCAGTGAGCACCAGGCACCTGTTTAAGGTCACACAGCGAAGGAGAGCAAGATCCAGAAGCTGCCAAACCCCTCTTTGCAGGATCCGACACCTGCCTCGGCAGCCAAGCCCGGGAAGTCCCTCCTGAGCTGGGGGAGGCGAGCAGAGGGGCCAGCCCCTCCCCTCCAGCCCTTGCAGGTGTGTATTTGGGGGGGGACCGCTCCCCAGCAGCTGCGTCTCAGCCAGGCACCCACACCTCCCAGTAACACACACCTTCGGACACAAACCAGCACGTCCCGCGCACTGGCACCTCCCTGTGCCCGCGCGCACAGACCCCAGCACCTCCCCTTCCCCTACCTCCCGCGTGTCCGCTCCCACCCGGAGTCCTGAGCGGACTCAGTGGCCTCCAGACGCGTACACGCCTCCACTGCCCCCCCGCGTCATGACGTCACGTGGGGTAGAGCCGGGAGACACTCTACCGGGGGGTGGGGAGGCGGCGGAGCTCCCTGAGCCAGGACAGTCACTCACTCTCCGGGCGGTGGGGCCGGGCACAGACAGCGCCGCCCCCCCTCACCTCCCCTCCCGGCCCGCCCCACGCGCCCTCGGAAGCGCAGGCTCTCGGCGCAGCGCTGGGGGGTCCCCGGCACCCCAGCNCTGCTGGCCGCCGCCCTGCCCAGGTGAGCCCTCACCTTATGCTCCGCCCTCCTAGAGTGCTGGGACCCCCAGCCACGGGGGCCTCTGTCGCTCCTGCTGGGGCAGGGGACCCTGTAAGGAAGGAGGGACAGTGTCGCAGGAGAGTCCTGGTGCCCAATGACAGTGTCCTCATAGGAGGGCGTTGAACTGGTGACAGAACATGGGCAGTCCAGAGAGACAGGGCAGTGCTCAGGAGAGTGATGGCTACTAGAAGGGAAGGTGTGAGTGTGGGGAGCAAGGACCAAGTTGGAGTCCTTGCGGTGCTGGGGGAATGCACCCCCACCCCAGGAGGAAGCTCAAACTGCCTTGCTCCACCCTGGGATGGCTCACAGGCAGGGACAGGGGTTGGGGGCTAGAAGGGTGCAGCCCAGGTGGGGTCAGTGAGAGACTGCAGATGGAAGGGTTCTCTGCGTGTGTGTGTGTGTGTGTGTTTGAGCCCAGCAAACTGTGTTGTGTAAATAGCAGTCTGTGTGTACACATGTGTGTGAATGTGAGAGCTCCTGGATTAATGTATGTTAAATTGAACACATATGTGTACTTGTGTGTGTGTGTGTGTGTGTAACTGTCGGATGAGGCGTGCATGTGTATAAGTGTTCCTGGGTCTGGGTCTGGGTGTTCACCTCAATGTGCAGAAGTGTGTCTGAGAATGTGACTGCCTGAAACATGTCTTTAAGAGTGGTCTTCTGAGGACGCTGTATACGTGAACATCTATGCCTGGGGATGTACTTATAAAATACTGTGTGTGCAGGCATTCCAGATGTGTGCATTTGCACATATTTACCTGTGTGGGTGTGCAGCTGGGTGGGTTTTGCTGGAGGTGATGCTGGTGAGAAGGTCAAGGAAAGGAGAATGCTTTAGGGGTATGCTGATGGGCCCAAACTTCAAAGGCAAGGGTTGAAACAGAGGGATTATGACCTTTGGGACAGATTGTGTATTATTAGATGGGGTCCTCCTAGCTCCCCAAACANCCTCACCTCCCCTCCCGGCCCGCCCCACGCGCCCTCGGAAGCGCAGGCTCTCGGCGCAGCGCTGGGGGGTCCCCGGCACCCCAGCCTCTCGTCCCCAGCCCGCGGCACCTCCGGGCCCCCCTTACCCTCGAGAGGCACCGGGAGCTGTCGCAGGGGGGCCTCGGGAAATTCCCTGGACCCCTGTGCCAGGAGGTGCCCGGTGCGCCCGCCCGCTCCCCCCCCCGGGGGCGGTGCCCGGGGGCGCTGCCCCATGGAGCGGGGAGGCGGGCGCCGTCTGCTCTTGGAGCCGTGACCCANCTGCAGATGGAAGGGTTCTCTGCGTGTGTGTGTGTGTGTGTGTTTGAGCCCAGCAAACTGTGTTGTGTAAATAGCAGTCTGTGTGTACACATGTGTGTGAATGTGAGAGCTCCTGGATTAATGTATGTTAAATTGAACACATATGTGTACTTGTGTGTGTGTGTGTGTGTGTAACTGTCGGATGAGGCGTGCATGTGTATAAGTGTTCCTGGGTCTGGGTCTGGGTGTTCACCTCAATGTGCAGAAGTGTGTCTGAGAATGTGACTGCCTGAAACATGTCTTTAAGAGTGGTCTTCTGAGGACGCTGTATACGTGAACATCTATGCCTGGGGATGTACTTATAAAATACTGTGTGTGCAGGCATTCCAGATGTGTGCATTTGCACATATTTACCTGTGTGGGTGTGCAGCTGGGTGGGTTTTGCTGGAGGTGATGCTGGTGAGAAGGTCAAGGAAAGGAGAATGCTTTAGGGGTATGCTGATGGGCCCAAACTTCAAAGGCAAGGGTTGAAACAGAGGGATTATGACCTTTGGGACAGATTGTGTATTATTAGATGGGGTCCTCCTAGCTCCCCAAACACTCACCCACCCCACCCCACATGCCTGCAGGTCTGCACCCAACGACATTCTGGGCCTCCGCCTTCCCCCGGAGCCTGTGCTCAACGCCAACACCGTGTGCCTGACATTGCCGGGCCTGAGCAAGCGGCAGATGGAGGTGTGTGTGCGCCACCCTGATGTGGCTGCCTCAGCCATCCAGGGCATCCAGATTGCCATCCACGAATGTCAGCACCAGTTCCGGGACCAGCGCTGGAACTGCTCTAGTCTTGAGACTCGAAATAAGATCCCCTACGAGAGTCCCATCTTCAGCAGAGGTAGCTTCCCTTCATCTTGCCCCTCTGCCCTCCCCATCCAGCACCTCCACCCCAGAACCTATCTGCCAGCCATCCCCAACCCACTCCTTCAAACTGGTAACCTCCCCAGGTGCCCATCTGCCAGCCATGCTACTCTTCTTCCTCTATCTGGTCTCAGAAAGCACACACCCCCCCCCCCC